CTCCTCCTCCTTTCCCCTTCAAGTGCCTGTTAAACTCACAGCCTTTCTCTGCCTCTGCAGCTTTGGCGACTCTGAAGCCGCAGGCCGGCCTCATCGTGCCCCAGACAGTGCCGTCCTCCCAGCCAAACGTGGCGGTGAGTCCCCACTGCCCATCTCGGCACCTTTCCCCTTCATCCCTCACTGCCTATCTCCGCTCCTTTCCCCTGCCTTCCTCCTCCGGGTGTAACCAGCTCCCTTCTCTATCCCCTGCAGGGAGCTGGGGAGTCCATGGATCTGGGAGAGCTTGCAGGCATGACCCCCGAGATCATCCAGAAGGTAAGGGGTCTTCCGCTTGCGCCACTACAGCTTTCGGCAGGAGCTGCTCTCTGGCCTCCCCTCCTGGGAGCCCCAGTCACTCCGTGACCACCCTCCTCTTCTTTTGCAGCTTCAAGACAAGGCCACGGTGCTGACCACCGAGCGGAAGAAGGTAAGTTTTTTCATTTTGTGGCAGCCAGGGCGTGCCATGCCCCGAGAGAGGCCGGCGTTTATCTCCATGCCGTTTTCCTTTTGCAGAGAGGCAAGACTGTTCCAGAGGAGCTGGTGAAGCCAGAGGAACTCAGCAAGTACCGGCAGGTCGCCTCACACGTGGTGAGTGCCGTGATGCGGGTGGGGGCTCGAACACTCCCCCCACGCAGCTGGGCACGCGGGCCTCTTCCGGGCCCCTTCGCAGCGTCAACAAGCAACAGATCTGCTGCTGGGCAGAGCAAGGAGAGGGTCGTGGCTCTGTGCCGCAGCCAGCAGGGACCTGTGCTGGAGCAGAAATGGCACAGGCTCCCGCTGTTGGGATGAAACGCCCCGAGCTGCCTCAAGGGCCTCTCAGTTCTTTTGGGGGGGTGTTTTCTTGCTCGCGGCATTAATCTGGCGTCCTCCTCCCTCGCGCAGGGGCTGCACAGCGCCAGCATCCCAGGGATCCTTGCCTTGGACCTCTGTCCTTCCGACACCAACAAGATCCTCACCGGTAAGGGAGCCTGCTCCGCTTGCTGGGGACTGCGTGGTGTCGGCTAAGAGCCTGCGGCTGCCTGGGAGCAGGTCCCTTTCGCTCTGCTTTTGGGGGATGGAGGTGGGCCAAGGGGCTTGAGGGATTCTCTCACCTCATGGCAAAGCTTCACAGGACTGCAGTCCCCAGGAAAGCTGGGTGGACTTGGGCTTGGTTGGCCACAGACTCCCGTCTCTCACCCTTCCCTGCTTTGTTTTCCAGGCGGGGCTGATAAAAACGTCATCGTCTTTGACAAGAGCTCAGAGCAGATCCTGGCGACGCTCAAGGGGCACTCCAAGAAGGTTACCAGCGTTGTCTTCCACCCCTCTCAGGTGCGCTCAGGCCCGCGTTCGGCCTCTTCCCTCACAGCCAACTTGCCCCAGATCTGATTTTCTGGGCCGCCTTCTGGTGCTCTGTTCCGGTGGGGTCTTGGCCTCACACGGACTGGCGATGGCCCAGTTCTTGCCAGAAGAGGTGAAGGTCTCTTGATGTTAAACTTTCCTGCCTCCTCCCTGTCTAGGACTTGGTGTTCTCAGCCTCTCCCGATGCTACTATCCGGATCTGGTCTGTGCCCAATGCCTCGTGCGTGCAGGTTGTCCGTGCCCACGAGGGCTCTGTGACAGGGCTGAGCCTCCACGCAACAGGCGACTACCTCCTCAGCTCCTCTGATGATCAGGTGAGACCCAGCCCCGGGCCACAGACCCCTCCCTGCTTCTCCTCTGTCTCTACACTCAATGCGCTGTTCCTCTCTTCCAGTACTGGGCTTTCTCGGATATCCAGACAGGCCGTGTCCTCACCAAGGTGACGGATGAGAGCTCCGGCTGTGGTGAGGCTTACGGCTGAGTGTCCCTGCCCTGGGGGCCTCTTGCAAGACTGGAAAGAGGGGATTTTTCTGCCTGTGGGTCCCTCGATTCCTGGAACTCAGAAGAACTCAGGGGGGTGGGGGGCCGGCTAACAAAGTCAGAACGTCTCCCCAGCCCTCCGAATCGTAGCACCACTAAGGTTGGAAAAGACCTCCCAAGATCATCAGGTCCAACTGTCAAACCAACACCCCCACGCCTGCTAAACCATGTCCCAAAGTGCCACGTCTGCCCAGTTTTTGAACACCCCCCAGCATGGGGACTCGACCCCTTCCCTGGGCAGTCCCTTCCAGCCCCTGACAGCCCCAAGGGGAAGGAATTGTTCCCCATGGCCAACCTCACCCTGCCCTGGCACAACTTGAGGCCGCTGCCCCTGTCCCATCACTTTCCTCCTTGGCTCTTGCTCAGAAGCTGACATTTTAAAAGCTTTACAGACTCTTTCCTTCACGAGCTACTGAATCGTGGACTCAAAACCTTTTTCCCTTGCTGGGC